TCATTATTTTTTTTATTTTAAAGAAATTTATTAGCAGGCATTCATTGTAGCGTGATTATTCATAATATAATGTTACATTGTGGAAAAAATGCGAAATGCGTATTTCTCACGATTTCGATATTTCGTTATGCTTAAAGTAAAGCCGAGAAAAGGTAAAAAAGCAAGATAAAGAAAAATCGTTATGTGTTCACCGGAGCAAGAAGCGTGACCCAACAAATGGACGAAAATAATCTCTTCTTTTTATCCCTTGACATTACTTCCACCCTTTATATTCACTCTTTCATTTCGGAACCTTTTCTCACCATCGATGTATCAATCCTTATCCAACAATCTTCTTAGCAACATCGAATCGACAGCAATTACTCCTCTTAACCTTACCCTCTCAATTTCTTCATATCTTTCATCCCTGTTATAAAGGGGTTTCATACAAAGAAAAGCGGCTCAACATAGTTAGTCCGCCATATAGATATATAAATAAATATATAAATAAGCATAAATAGTAATATACCACAAATTATAAGAAATAAAAGAAATGTCCTATTCTAGGACATCAAGGTGACAAAAAGGTACTTTGACTAATCATAATTGAACTTTGACTTTTCACGCATATACACTTTACATAGCAAGCTAATTATACGAAATGAAATCGAGAGGTTTTCCCTATAAATAATTCAAGAGCAATGATTAAACTCTCGATAAATAAAACATAAATGGAATCTTAATCCATAGCAGAATTAGCAGGCTTCTAGAACGTATATATTGGTTGTTTTTTTTTTAAATTACCATGTATTCATAAATAAATAAAACATTAAATTACGCACACATCAAGAAAGCTGAAAAATTTATGAATATGTTTAGACGCACAGTCTGCCAGAAAATTGAATTCCGAATTTAACATGTTGCATACTGTAGTAGAAAAATTTCAATTAAAATTGCAGTTGCTTCTCCTACATTGCAAATCTAGAGTCAAGAATGATGTTCAATCACGAAAAGGTTACGTGAAACATTCACGCTCGCGTTACGTATACACGAGCAACTTTTTACGTGGCAGTGGCCGCGCAGCGTAGTCGCGTGAATCCTAACGATGTAATCATTTAATGGAATTTCTGCCGTATCCCGGCATGTTTGTGGATGAAGGAGGAGGAAAATATGCAGCAACATTCTTTCCGTGTTATTACGCCGTGATTCGCCTGGCAGATAGAAGCCTAGATAAACTAAGAGCAGCAGAGCTAAACGACTTAGTGATTCGAGACATTCCGGCAAATCGGTAGCGCGTACAAACTCGCGTTCAGAGATATTGTGCTCCGGGCGAGAAAAACTATTTCATCCAAAAATAATTCTTCTTCATTTTCTTCGTTCAACAAATTTCTCAAAAATCTTGCATGCGCTTATTGTGAAAATCAGTAAGATGGAAAATTGCCTTAGCTTCCTTTCTGAAAACTTAATTACAGCATAAGAGATTTTATATTTTAAAATATTAATATCAGAAATAATATCAGAACGATTAATTAAATTTGGAATCCTATGGCTCTTAAACTTTAAATAAAATTTAAAATAATGTGACTTTTAATCTTATGAATTTAACGCAATGAAGAAAAGTTTAAATTACATTGATATAATATTAGGAAACGTACATTAAACCATTTTTCAATTCTAGGATTATAAAATCATATCTGATAAAATTATATCTATATCATAATTATTTAAATTAAATAAACACCGAGATATTTTAAACTAAATAAAAAATATAATATGTGGATTGTTTCTTCAAGCTATTTTGACATTTTTAACTATAGAATGTTTTATTAAAGAAATCTTTTCTAATGCAATTATTACAATAATTCATAAAACATTTGTTAAGTTGCATTACTGTTATTTCAGTAAATTTAAAATTATCTTTTTCTGTATTGAAATTTAAAACAAGGCACAATGATGAAGCTATTTAACATTGAATTAAAAGCTTTTGACGAAGCAGCAAAAATGCAAATTGATAAGAAAAAACTTTAACTAATTTTTACTAAGCTTTAGCTTAAGACGAATTTAATTCAACGCTTCGTTACCAAGATAATTAACATAGAAAGTTCAAATGCTGCGAAAAAGGTATCTCATAAAATTTTTGCTGAGAGAGAATTATCTCTAAGTTTCTTAATCTTCGAAGTTTATTGTAACGTTTTTTGCAAAATATCTTACGAATATAAAATCGACAATATTCTATTCATCAAAATTGGTATTTAAATTATTACGATTCACATTAACTCAACAATCTACTATGAATTATTATAAATTATTATAAATTACTTTTCATGGAATTCATAGTACATAGCTTTTCTTTTAAGAAATGTCAATACAAATCACCGCAACCGGTGTTGAGACGACAAATGATCTCAAGCAAATTTGCAAATCCGTGTCCGATCGATTGTCGTATTTCGATACGATACGTCGCGGAATGATAGGGAAGTACAGCAAAGACAGTTCGCGAAACGAACAGAACGAGCGAAGGAACGGACGGACCGAACAAGGGGCTAAGACAAATGGAGTCGTAGTTTACGTCAGTGCAGACAGATACGCGGTATCCTTGTCGAAAGAAGAACGTAAACAGACGTGCCGGACGAGCAAGGACGAAGGGATATCGATGTCGAAGTAGCCTCGTCGCAGGGCGGAGGGTGTGCACGGGACCGTATCTTGTGCAGGATCCTACCCCTTTCCCTCGGAGAGGTCCGAGGGTACGTGGCCGAACCTGGTGGTCGATACGCGGGTCAGCAGCATGCTTCACCGACAGCGCCAATGGGGCGGTTTGCGAAATCCTCCTCCAGTTAGTACAATCCAGCTACGAAGTATTCCCCGTTTCCGACACTACGGGCTCTTCCAATTGCGGTGGCTAAGTGCTCGGTAATGACCATTGTTAATGTCCCGTCCGAGAGGAAGGCGAGTTTTCCGAATTACACGGACGATATGATCGACGCTGGGAACATACGAGCTTATCCCGAGGTTCGCTAAATGCAGATTGCAGATACGGATTCATTTAGCATTTCCAGGATTGGTATTTTTATTTCATACAGAGATTTTCATAGTGCTACGCTATGTATTTTTTAGTATTCTCCAATCAATATTTTTATATCCCACCAGCTGCGCGAAGTATTGGGGGGATCATATTCAGATATTATTGCCGCGTAAAGCGTTCATTGCAGAAAATTTATTATTCGTGTCAGATTAAAGTTCGGTTTATAATTTTTATGATACATATTTTGATTTATGATTTGATTACGATATTACGTGCGTTTATTAATATATGTTTTATATCATGTATGTATTTTAATTGTTCTAGTGCTTTTGTGTTACACAATATAAATAGAATTCTGTTCTGATTTTTAATACAAATTATAAATTATCTAAAATATATCGTTATTATTATTTTTACTCTTATATCAAAGTAATATATTTATCCAATTTAAAAGTTTAAAGTTTATTATTTCGATGTTGATGATTATATTGTTACGTTGTCATTTATACTTGTCAACATATTTATTTTTATTTGAGATAGCTTAACAGCTTTTTCAGTAGATTTTCGGAGCGGACAAATGTCGCGACAGCTTCGCAAAGAAGGTTCTCACCATGGGAAGCTATTTGACGGATTGAAGAAGCAACTGACGCTTTGAGAAACTGCTTAGAAACGACGTGCTCTGCTTTCACAATGCATCCACGCAATCGTTGTAAAACGCGACTTTGAAGAATTCCAAGGCTGTTGTGATGTGTAACATATTGCAGAAATAGTCAATATCTATAGGCGATATTAGCAATAACATCGAAGTCAGATGAAATATTATAATATGTTACAATAAAGAATTGACATATTTTTAACACACATATTTTTTTTTCAAAAACATGTCATTCAGAAGAATATCAACGCGTGCCAAACAAGTGGTAACTTGTAACTTTGTAATTAATATTAAAAATTAAAGTGCATTGATAAATAATCGAGATTTAATTTCGGCGTTTATAAATCAAAATATATTTCTTGATATATTACTGATATTATATTAATTTAATATTAATTATTCACATGTTAAAAAATTCTCATTCTGTTTGACTTTTTTTGGAAATATTTTGACATAATTAATAATTTGAATTGACTGATTGCTTCAGCAGCCTTACAATTATTACCAGCGCAATTTTCTCAATACATATCGAAATTATCTCGTTTATTTTCTTCTTTGTCGAATCCACGGGTCGAAAAAGCTATCTACCCTTCGTGGCGCACAATGGTTGTTCCCACTAAAACCCCATTTCTTTCTCACTATCTCTCTCTCTCTCTCTCTCTTTCTCTTCTTTCCTTCCATCTTCGCTTTATCTGGTCATTGTTGAATCGCAGGGTTGCTTGTCGCGGAACAGAAGTGGATCTGAGACGGAGTGGACTGAAACCACAAGATTGAAAATCGATTTTCGACGTGGCGACAGAATTGTCACCCATTTGCCACGCTTATTCAATTAGCGGAAAAGCTTAATAAAAATTGCGCTCTGCGGGCAGGCAAATAAAAAGATTGCGGACAGATAAATGTACACTAGACCTCATTAATATTTCTGGAATTCAGAATTTCTAAGCATTCCTTTTTGGCCACGTATCGTGTTTAAATGTACGTAAAACATGATTATCGATTAAAAATACGAATCGAATAAAAAACACGAATCTGTTATTAACTAATTTATGTTAAATTATATTACATAAAATGTTTTTCATCCTTAATCTTATATATTTAATCTTTTATACATTTATATTAAATAATTATGGGATAATAAATCATACTACACATTTAACAATAATGCGTAGACTTTCGGAAGAAGGGCATGGCAATCTTAAATTCCGAGAGTGCTAAGGCATTAATGAACCTCAGTGTACACGGTTTTATCGGCGCCTAAAACGATCGTCTATGCAAATGTCGTGGCCATTAAAGGAATGGAGGAACCGGAACGACCTCCTTCGCCTCTTCTGTTTTTCACTTCTTGACTTCGCACACCCTCGGCCTCCGCTATATTCGCCGGGCACGTTGAATCTACATTCTAGTGGACTTTGAAGGAGAAGTAAATCGAATCAGCGTGATTGAAAATCGATTTTCGATACGGCACTCAAAATCAATCTCTGAGACAGCGGCAAATAATCCATTTGTGCTCTTGATTGACATCGCCATTCAGTGTCAACTCCATAAAATGCACGACCGCTATTAGCGATGATTAGTTTCTTTTATGATCAATCGTATTAGGTATTGTTCCGCGGACTAATTTTGTAGATCACTGAGATATAATATGAACGTATTAGATTATACATTTTGCAAAATACCTTGTAAAAGCTGTTTCGTTTACACAAAATCCGAAGCAAAATGTCGGAAAGTCCTTTAAGCGCAAATGCCACGTCAGGTTGGATATAGAATTTTTCGAGTATGTTGGAAAATCGACATTATTTTCTTGGTCTGTCAAGTAGGCGGAAGAAGATAGCAGCCGTAGTATCGGAAATCCATTTCCAATGTTGCATCTTGGATTTGTTTCCTCTATTTGAACATTGCCTCGACAGCACACGAATGTGGCAATTTCCTGATAAGATAATAATGCTGTGATTGGAGAGTTCTCCAATTTTCTTCTGCGTCGTATGATGGATTATATAAAACAGAAAAATAAATACAACGAAAAGTAGAAGAGTATATCAAAATTACTATCATCTTTCAGTGTCCATTAATTCAATATGATTTGTTTCTTAAAATACGTCAATATCAGTGCACATAATTTATTTTATTGCTATTATTTGAATCTTGACGTATAATAACATTATATCTTATTATCTTTTGAATATAACTTTTGATTAAATACGTAATCTATTCCATTGCGATTTAACGATAACGCAATGACTTCCTTTTATCTTAATACGTTCGTAAATATCGATTTAGTTTCTCGGCGAAGGCGATTACGGCTCTTCGAGCTCGTTTTTGGAGGAACTCTATTTATTTAACCGCCTGACCGACTAGGTATGTCTTAATACGACAAATAGACGAAATAAAGAGCTGTGGCTGCGTGAAATGGACTACCTGCATGTCTCTTTAATCTATTAAAAGCATTGAACATAGATTTCGTCCGCGGACGGTCGGGAGATTTACTCTCCTCGGTTTCTTTAACCCCAAACTCGCTTCGTCCATTTTCCACTTTTGCGAGTCGGCGAGACTCCCTATCTCTTTCGCTTCTCGCGCGTTTCTTTTTATCTGCGAGCGCCGTCGTCGTCTTATCTCGGTCCGTGTTGAGTCCTCTGTACCCTGAGACTGAAGTGGATGGGGCGAAGTAGGCGAAAGTAGGTGATCCCCGAAACTGCGCACGATTGGAAATCGATCTTCGGCGTTGCCCGTTCCCGAGTAATTCTTACGAATGTCCTCGTTTCAATGATCGACGAATGACCGGCCATTTGTCTCGATTATCCCGCTACCGTGAGGACGGCCGTTGCATCGTGTCGATCGTCGCGTCGTGCCGGTCGGGAATAACCTTTAGAAATTGGTATACCAATGGTTGCGCCGGCAAACAAATGTACATGTCTCCAGGTACAAGTACGACGAGCACGTGTACCGCTTCCTCTCGCGCGAGACAAACCGATTCTGTCCCCGTGTACGTACAGCGGCGACAGAAAGTTGCGAATAAGCGCGATATTGTGGCAACTTCGGAATAAATGGCCGGCGACTACTTTTCTTGCGTGGCGAACGAGAAACGCAGAATTTCCATCCCCGTTCGCCCACCCTCCTCTGTTCCGCGGACTGCTCGCGAGTCTGACTATTTGCGAATCTGTTTGTACATATAACTCTCGCGTATACATGTAAATGTATATATTCACATGTATAAGTGTATACATGTATATATTCAGTTCTGTTATAAATTTATGTACCATCTCTCCTTGAAATTTACAGTGTAGGTGGGTATTGATCAGTTAGCGTGTGTCCAAGAATGAAACCTTTTCCGTGCGAGCAACCTAGCTGAAGTGTTTTACAGCGCGATGTCGAAATGTGATGAAAAATAAACATTCAAAATCTCTTTCGATTCGTACAGGATTATGTTTTATTTATATATTTGCCGAAGCTAACAATAAATCTTCATAGCGTCGATCTCCGCATAAAAATATTTTAGAAGATAAAACGTAATTGATTGAATGCGATGTTTCTAAAAGTGGATTTAATTGAATTATAAAGAGGTGTATTTTCTAACAAAATTTTCATTGTTCAGGTATTTTTGGCAAATATTGTACTTTATCGTTGCAGGCTATTGGCGTAGATACTCTATTGCACATGTTTCTCTCTGTCGTCCAACTCCCTCAGGTCCGAATGTCAAGATTAGGGGAAATCGAAATATTGTTGACCAACGGCGACAGTCGAGATACGGAAAATTTAAAAGCAAAATGTCATGATGTTGACATTGTTTAATGATCGTGCAATTTGACATGGACAGTAGAAAAATAGATTCGCAAAGAACTAAACTTGATGTGAAATGGGAAACAAAAAGTAATCAGAGAAAAATAAAGAAATTAATGCAATTAATATAAATGATAAATAGTAAAATATTACGTATTTTATTAAAAAGATTATTTTAGAATGTTTATATTAATATTTTAGAATAATGTACAATGTAAGACATATGTATATTTTTTAATATATAATTTATGTTTTCTTTAAATGGTATCATCGATCTATCAATCTTTATAAATATTTCAGAGTAAATACAACTTATTACACACGATTATTTAAAAAAATAATAATTATGGAAAAGAATAAATAATTATTTAGTTTAATGGCAGTCGGAAATAGATGGTTCAGCAATTGGAATTAATCTGAAACAAAAAAAAGGATATTCGATATTCTTTTTTTATTCGTCGATTTGTTCGAATCGCTTTTATTGTTTTTTCAACCTTTGTTTTTATTCCGACACAGATTCCACGTTCGTCCGAAAGAAACGCTATTGCGTTTCAAAAACGATGTCTGAAAATACAATTATCCCAGCGAGCTGTAAGCTCAGCCGCGATAGGCGAATGACCACATATTTAAAGTTTAAAGGCGATTTACAAGCTATTGTTAAATTGGAAACGGGCAAGGTAACGTAAGAGACGTTATTGCTCTCGGCGGAGGTGGGATAAATTCGATGCATACCAATGCAAACCTATAGAGCCGGGACGACGATCGGAGACACATGATACCGTCGGCGACGATTTATTTTAACGAATACAACGAGAATTGCGTCGAGTCCTTTCGTCGCTCCATCGCTATCTCGTCCTATCGTCTCCCGTACGAAAGAGCCCTCTCTCTCTTTACTATATATATGTATATTTCTAATGATAACCGAACTCGTAAAAAGAAGTTGACGATGATA